TTGACATGTGAAGCAAGCTTGTTTCTAATTTGAACTAATAAAATAAAAATAATAATAATAAAAAGAAATAGCTCAACATCCATAGCCATCAGGGAAATGCAAATCAAAATAACTCTGAGATACTATCTTACACATGTCAGAATGACTAAAGTCATAAGCACCAAGGACAGTTTATACTGGAGAGGATGTGGAGAAAGGGGAACACTCCTCTATTGCTAGTGGGAGGCAAACTTCTACAGCTACTTTGGAAATCAGTATGGCACTTTCTCAGGAAATTGGGAATCAGTCTACCTCAAGACCTAGTAATTTCACTTAGGCATATACCCAAAGGATGCGCATTCATACCACACAGACATCTGTTCAACTATGTTCATAGCAGCATTATTTGTAATAGCCATTTTAGATATTTTAAAAGATAAGATTTTCATCCTAGTATCCAAATTCTAAAAACCAGTCAGTCAACAAAGTGAATTGTCCCCCAAACCTGAGGACCTGAATTAAGTCCAAAGGACCCACATTAAAGGATCACACTCCCAGGTGTATTGGTACACACTTGTAACACCAACATTGGGGTGTTCTGATATTTCTATCCACTAAATTTTAATCTGGCCTGTTTTTCTTCTTCTCTTCCTCTTTCTCCTCTTCCTTTGCTAGCATAACCAACACTCCACATTTTAGAATACACCAGTCTGGAAATATATTATGACCATAGTGATTTAGTAATTAGAAGAAATGTCACCATCTTCCTTCTGACACTAAATAATTTCCATGTGTATTTCCTGCCTTATTTGTTAGTAATAGGAGGGGTCATCTAGCATATACTTACTATATCACATAGGAGAGTGTGAGTCCACTTATCAGGGCAATGACAAAGCTTATGCTCGCAACTGAAATTACATGCACAAGACCAGGTCTACGTGGAATTGCTGCTAGAAGTGGAAAGAAATGAAGTTTGTTACAAAAAAAAGGAAACAAGCACTAAATTGGAAATAATTTTACAAATAACATTCCTAATTTTGAACAATACTGGTGTTATTGACATCCCATTTAGGGCTCAGTGGTCCAAAGTCTCTCAGTCTCTGTACATTGTCCAGTTGTAGGTCTCCATATTAATTCTAATCTATTGTAAAAAGATTCTCTGATAAGGGTTGAGTGATGCTCTGATCTATAGGCATAGTAGTATGTCATTTTATTTCTATTCCTTCAGCAGATTAATAGTAGTAGGTTTTCCACTAAGAAAAACGACCTAAGTATCATCTGGTCCTTAGCCACATTAACAGTGTCAAGGATGGGCTCCATCTCATGAAATGGGACTTAAACCCAATCAAAAAGTAGTTGGTTACTCTCATAACATTTGTGCCTCTATTGCATCATATATCTTGCAAGTGTGTCACTGTTACATAAGTAGTTATCATAGCTAGTGATACTGATGACTATGCAGGAGAGGAGGCAGAAAGATTGTAAAAGCCAGCAGTGGCAGATGACCCATGGAAACAACTCTTCAAGACCCAATAGAGTTGATACACATATGAACTCACAAGAGACTGAGACAGCATGCATAAGACCTGCCTAAGTTTACACCGGGTGAAATCTCGGGAAATGAGAAGAGGAAGTGGACACAAAAGTCCCACCCCATCCAAGAAGCTTATTTGCAATCGATACCTGTTGGGAAAGGGAAAATCAGTTCTCTCCAATGAAGTGACACTGTGTGTATCAACCACACTCCAAGACAGGCCCCATGCCGAGGAGAAGCTGGCCAACGCAAGACACGCTTCATGTTTTTGTTAATGTGCTTTTTGTTTGGTTTGGCTAAATTTTTTTGTCTTGTCTGATTTGGTTTGGTTGTTGTTGATAATTTGGTTTTCAGTTTTAGTTTTTGGGAACTTGGGGGTGAGAGAAAGAGAGGGAAGCGGAGATAAAGAGAGAGAAGGTGAATTGTGTGGGTAAGGAGATGGGATGGATCTGGGAGGAGTTGGGGAAAGAATATGATCAAAGCATAGTGTGTAAATATTTTTAGGTAAAAATGGATTTTTAACAAATTCTGAGGCTACCTCTCTGTATCACTTTTGCAGTGAAGGATGTGATTCCCCCCCCCCCTCCTCT